AAAAATAAAAATAAAAACAAAAATAAATAGCAAAAAATGAATTATATATAAAAAAAATTTACATGCAATATATGCAATATATATTGTAATGATTATAATGATATGAATAATGTGTGATTTTGTGATTGTAATTGTTTTTTTTTGTTTTTAGTTTATGTAAAAAAAAATATTTAAAACCTTGTTAAAAGTTGATTGATCCCAGCATCTAATAATAACATCCATTGTAAAAAATCATCTGTAGTTTTTGACAAATCTTCATATACTTCATTAGTGCCACGATAATTATCCATTTTTAATTGTCTTAACTCTGGTCCATCCTTTATTATCTGTGATGATTGTATTGCAAAAATTGGTCTCGTAGGTGAATTTTGATTTGATGGTGATGATAGATTATGATGGTGATGGTAATTTATCAAGAATTTGGCAGTGGAGGGTGTCGGTAAAGATCCTCCAATTTGTCCTGGATCCTCAGTTAACACCAACTTGGCTTTTGGTGATTTTTGTATATTGCCTCCACCAATGCTGGTGGCTCTTTGTCTTTGCATATAAACTCCCAAACTACCATTTATATTATTGTTATTGTTGTTATGGTTATTGTTATTGTTATTAGTGTCAGCCTCAATATCATTAATATAATACCTGTTTTGCCCTATTAATTCTTCTGTATTAGGTCTATTGGTTTGATTTAAAGTTGTTGCTGATCTAACTCTTCTTGCATGATGTGATGATGTATACTGCCTACCTCCTTGACTACTTGATCTATATAATGGTACTCCTCCTGAATTATATCCATCATCATCATTATTCTTATTATTATTATTTGTTGCCATATCATAACTTCCATGTCTTACTGGCATCATAATTTTGAATCCTTTTTTACTAGGTGATGAAGGATATGATGGATTTAAATTACTACCATTATTATTATTATTGCTATTACTAAGGTTGTTGTTGGTAACCTCGTTAAAATTATTAGATCTATTACTATCTGTCGATGAACCAGAC